GTGTGTGTGTGTGTGTGTGTTGAGAAGTCAGTAGGCTCACTGATTGACGCTGGTGTGTGTGTGTGTGTGTACTCGTGTGTGTGTGTGTTGAGAAGTCAGTAGGCTCACTGATTGACGCTGGTGTAGTCCCAACTTCCTTTTAACCAAATCAGTGGCTGTCAATCTGGCCACACTTTAGAATTACCTGGGGAGTCTTTCTAAAAAGCACCAATGCTTGGGCCCCACCTGAGATGCCCACCTGGGCCCCAGCTGAAACCAAACATGTGGGGGTCAAATCAGCATGTATTTTTTTTTAAACTTCTTAGGTGATTACAATGTAGAGACCAGTTTGTACAAAACAAGATCTTCTCTCTGGCAACTTCTGAAAGAAGACTTGTCAAAGTCCAAACCACTCCGAATAACTGAAAACACAAAATACTAAACACATCTAACTGCCTGAACAATGGTCTTACCTCTTCAATATCTTGGTGAATTCCACGTTCATAGCCAACACCTGAATCAGGGAGTTCAGGCAGCAGGTCTGCCCAAGGTTGTGTAAACCAACCGGACCTGTGACAAGGGTGGGAAGACACTGAGGGCAAGGCCCCACCGAGGCCGAAGCATTTTTCTACAACTTCCTACAGACATGAAATCCTACGAAGTACTCCCAGAGGCACAAGGAATTCACAGAGGAGCTTGCAAACAAACTGGGAAGGAGGGATAAACATGAGCCTTTGAAAAGTGAAACAGCAGCAGAGGTTTTCACAGCCCGTTAGTAAAAGAACTGTCACAAGAAAGTGCGTCACTTGTCAGTCTGGGAACAAGCAACTGTAAGAGCAAAGGAAAAGAAAGAAACATTACAGAAAGCAAATCTGGGAGGTTTCAGGGCCCCGCTCCTTCAGGTTGTCCCTACGGAGCTGAGTCAGGACAGGCTGATGTGGGGCTCAGGGACAAGAGCAATTTCCCAGGTAATCGTTTCTGGACTCAGTGGGAAAGCGCCTGCCCAGTCCCCACCGCACGGTTGGAGGAAATCAGAAGACAGCTCCGAGGGAGACCTGCCCCCTCTAAACTCACCTTGGGAGGCTGGAAGCCACAGGAAACTTACAAGGGTGTGAGAAAACCAAAAGGTGGCATTTCTCTGACCCACTAGCCACCAGCCTCTCCCTCCCCACCCTACCTTGGGATCAGCAGACCCCACAAGGTGAGTAATTTCAGAGGGAGGGAGTCCCCCTGGTGTCAGAGGTCCTGGGGAATGGGCTCCGGCATGTGAGACAGGCCAAGAAGAACCTAAGAATCTGGGGACAGCCGAGAGCCAGAGAAATCCACTCCCAGACCAGCAGAAGCACCAGGGTCCCAGGTGCCTGCGCACAGGGCAGGGAAGTGCTTCTACGCAGTCAAAAGAGAAGATGGGGAACCTCGAGCCAGAGGGCAGGCCCAGGCTCCTCCAAGAGACTCTGAGACAGCCCAGGCTGGCCGGCAAATGTCCCCAGGAACCCAAGCACCATACCCATTGTGATCTCGTCAAAACCCAGGACACCAGCTGCCAGGCCGCCTTCAGGACCACAGGACCTCACCTCCAGGAGGAGCTTGCATGAGCCACCCTTGGCGGGGCCTCTGTGGAAACAGCGCAGGAGGTAAGAGTAAGAAAGGCGATGGGTCGGTTCTGACTCCAAAGAGCCGATCATGGAGGAGGTAAGTGTCTGGGGAGACTGGCCCACAAGCCCTCGAGCTAGAAATGACACAGCCTCTCCAGGTTCTTTGTTCCCATAGACTCAGGGGAATGAGACATTAGCTGTGCAGACATCTGTGTGTGTGAGAGAGAGAGAGTTGAAGCTTTCTAAACAGATAATGAAGACGGAGAAGGTTAGGCCTTCAGTTCCAACGGGGAGGCAGAGGCATGAGACAAGTGAGAGCACATAACCACCGTTATGTTCTAGCTTGGGGTGGGGGGGAGGTGAAGCGTTTCACACACGTTTATTTTATTACCAATCAGTTGGAACGTGGAATCAAGGCTCACGGTCTAGGCAGACACACTGTCTTAAGGGGGCATGAAGGATCATTCTCGCTGCGAAGAGCTGACACACAGCAGTGAAGGCAGAGCTCACATGACTGCTGACAAATCTGAATTACGGACCACAACAATGCTCAGTTTTAATCAGCTGCATGAGAAGTCCTTACAGGCAGATTCCCTTAGAGCTCTCGCTCTAATAGAAAAGTAGAAGCCAAACCAAGTTTGGGTGGGCAGGCAATGCCCCACGGTGTGACACATGGAGAATATCCAGGTAGAATGAGATGAAAAGACAGCCAAGGGGTTTACCAAGTAAACAGACAGCACACAAAGACGTGGTGGGAAAGCTCTAAGTCCCACTGAAGGATGAGTCATCCCCATCTAGGCCTCTGGCCTAGATCAAGCGGCACCGTATCTAAGTGCTTTCAAAACATCGTATGAAGGCTTACATTTTCCAGATGAAGTAAGACAGTCCCAAAGTGTGGCTTCAACATCATTATTCAGCTAAGACCTGCTCCTCGGCCTCAGCCTTTGAAAGGCCAAATAACCAAATGCCCACTTCAGTGCCCTTTCTAGTGTCCCTGCACTGGTGCGCGACCAAGTGATCACTTTTGTTACCACCCTACGTAACCAGTGTGGTTAACTGTTAATATCTAAAAATCCAGTTACAAATGTTCCACAAACAATTTAGGGTAGAAAATCTCATATACTTTATATGTTGAGATATAAAAGCATAATTTTCGCTGCAAAAGAAAGATGAATGGTTTGCACTGTTAATTTTATACATAAAATTATTATTTTTAAATCTTAAAAAAGGAATAACAAATGAAAACAAACACATACAGGAAAGAGAGAGTAAGCTTGCTAAATAGTTTATAGAGAATATTATATCTTTTTTGGCCTGCAACTTTATTAAATTTTAAAAGTAATTTAGAATTATAGCTAAGACTGTATCAACTCTACATTTTGCAAAATTGTTAGTATGCCAGCCTTCTCATAAGAGTAAACAAAATTATCTTTAAGAATTATATTTAAATTTTATTAAGTTATGTAATGCCAATTAAGCCATGAGTCTTTCAAGAAAAAAATCCTATTTGTGAATTATTCACACTGTGTGAAGATAAATTAAAAACAGAACATCAACTTTACCACCTCAAATTATCATGAGGAGGAAAAACTCCAAACATATCCACAAAAAATCAGTAACAAATCACCACTCAATCCAAGTGCAAAAAGAATATTAAAAATCTGAAAACCAAAGCACCCAGAACACAGTTTGTTCTCACTGGTCACTCTCCAGAAGTCTGAGACTGCACAAGGGCGCAAGCACACTGCCCTCCGGAGTGAGTGGTCTCCTTCCGGACACGAAAACCTGTTAAGCAAGTAATGGCTTTAGACTGTCACTCAGTCCAACACTTGGAAATAAAACTCTTGACTTTTGATAGATGTCCAAACTATAAATCCTAAGGACAACACTGCTCTGGAAAACATGTTCCTAAAAATAATTTTCCTAAATATATTCTACTGTGCACACCAAAAACACAGTGATCAACTTTTACTGTGCTACTTCTGTGCCACGTACATCAGCTGTCTGAACAGGCAGAAACAACCAGCCCCTTTTAAACAGCATGGTGGATTAGTGGTGAATTCAGTCAGATTCTCTCTTTGAAAATCTGATTGAAGAAATATTTATAGACTGGAAAATCAGTTTTTTTAAGTATCAATACCATACGGTTGTCATCAACAGGGGAACAAATGAGATGAAGCCTACAAGTGCTTTAGGAATCACAGACATGGTCAGGGCTGGCTTGGTGAGTGCTCAACTTCTGTAGCTGCACAGATCTGCGCTCGGAAGAACCAGCTTGGTTTCATGCACTCTGGCTGCAGTCTTGAAATTCTTCCTAAGGGTGTAACAAGGAACCCCACGTTTTCACTTTACTACAGGACCCACAAATTATGTAGCCCGTCCTGCAGTGTTCGGTTCATGTCCTTCAGTATGTGCTACAGGACAGAAGAACGTAACAGAAATCCTGGTCAAAGAAGAAAAATGGGGGCCAGTTTTATCACTCTTCAGAGATTTTAGAATAGTCTTGTCGCATACTCATGTGAGATGTTCAAACACCACGGAATAGCAGACATCAGGTGCTTTAAAGGCTACTCAGACAGTAATGACCACAAAAAACCTCTAATGCTGTAGCTTGCAGAACGTAGCCCTTGCAGCCTGCACACTGCAAACTACTGAAGTGACCAAAATAAAGTCTTCCTGAGAATCCAAATACTTCTCACATGACACCACCTGTAAGATACCCCCGTTCTTCAGTTCCAAAACTGCTACGCATGTGAATACAGGCGAGGGGCAGGTGGCCTCACCTGCAACCGAATTATCGAGTTTAACACTCAGCTCATTAGGGCTCTGCCAAAAGGTGCCAAGATGTAGGCAGATGCTGTCATGATTCTAAAAACACAGCCTTTTGAAGAAGTTCTTCTGAATGCATGGTAATTTTCAGCATGTTTTCCCAAATAATGGATACCAAGAGTACAATTATTATCCTGAGGGGGACTGAGTCCTCAATTTTTTCCTTTTGTTTTGCTAAAATATTGGAAATCACCAGTCTAACGTCTGGCTACTAGAAAGCTCTGGACCAGCAGCATCTGCATCACCTGCTGTTTGTTGAAAAGGCAGAACTGGAATCTGCACTTTGACATGACTCTTGGTGACTCCTGCGCACATTATCAGTCTAGATGACAAGTACTGACCAACCTCAGCTGCAGAGGGCTGACCACGGGCATGCAGGTTGTACTGCAGAGCGCCTACCTTCAAGCCAGTTCATGAAGACTTTTCAGTGTGGTCTCCCTAAAGGTACATGATTTCCTGGCTGCTTTATTTCCATTTAAGGAGTTGTCAGTGAAGACCTCATGGTGTTACTTGTGCAGATGTGGAAGACAAGATCTTCCAGTCCAGGTCCACAGCAGCGACCCGCTTCTCAACCACACACTGCTGCAGGGAGTGGCCCCTGCCACAGCCAGCCTGGACACCAGCCGGGCAACACATTCCACAACCTCAAAAATTATCCTAGTGGATGGCTGACATTTCTGCCATCCCAGTGCCCCACCTTTTGGTAGCAGACTCATCTTTTCTCTTCAAAAGCTATCTCCACTTTCAGACTATGAGGACTGGGTGGAGCCCACACCCACTGCCTGGCTCAAATGGTGGTCACATGGCCCAGGCTTGGCCATGCAGTGTCCATGGTGGCTGGTTCAGGCATGGTCATGCAGCCCAATCAGGGCTGATCGTAATCAGGCTCTAGACTTCTTAGATGGGGTTTTAAGCCAGAAGAACGTAAATCAGACCATCTCTTTCACCACAAAGAGAAAACCCACCAGCCAAGGAAAAGAGCCAATGGCAGGAAACAGAGTCAGGAGATGGAGAAGGAGACAGAATTCTGAGGCCACCAGCGAAGCCCTGGATCCCACCAAGCCTCAAGCCGCCACCCAACTTCCACGTAGAGCCCCCTCTGCTGTTATTAAAAATAGTCTTGAGATGTGTTCCTGTCTCATGTAGCTGAAAGTGTACCGGTTAACACTGAATCTATTCTAGGACTCTCTCTTCAGGAAAGAATTAGAGACACACACAAAGATCTATGCATAAGAGACTTCACCCAAATTCACTTGTGTGGCCTATTTTCTTTATGTGTTTTACCAATAAAGTGAAATAAAATATTGATAAGAAAAATTACAGCATTTAGAAGATTACGGTAAAATCATCCCATTACCATTTTGTCCATTCTTTTAAAGATCTTTTTGTTCCTCCTTAACTAACACAAGATGATTTTTTTAGAGGGGGATTTTCTTGTTGCTGTCAGTTGTCAAAAAATAGAAGTATCCTTCCAAATCTAAGAGCTGCAGCATTATTTATAACGGCAAAAAAAAAGGGGGGAGGGGGAATGCAACAATAAGAGATAAGTAAATGATGACTACTCATAAAATGGAATTCTACGCGGACCTTAAAATCATATTAGACTGTTTAAAAAATGGGAAATGACTATATTTCATTGAATAAAAAAGAAATCAAATAAATCATATAGTATGAACACAATTTTATAAAGCATAAATATAACTACACAGAAAGAGAGAGAGAGAAAAAAGGCTGGGATGAAATATACCAAAAATGTCATTAAAGGGCAACTCTAATTGGTGAGATTACAAATCATTTTTGTCTTTTTCTGGATTATTTCTCTTGATTTCCAAATCTCCTGTATTTAATATGTAATTTTAAATAAACAATAATTCATTTAATACACAGATTTAGTATCTTTTAAGGGAGCCTTTGTTGGCAATAGTGTTCCTATTCCAAGATCCAAATAGTTAGTGAATTAGGGATGGGAAGTCTTAGAATTTTTTTCTCAATTCTTTTATAAAATATGAAGGACGGATACCATCTGCAGTTGTTCTAACCAAACATTAACTAAGTGCAAGTGGCATATATTAATAAATTCATGTTAAATGGCTCAGATAACAATCTCTTTTCTCAGTAAATCTTTATTTTCAATAGCCATAAACAGTTGTCCCTCTTACAAGGTGCAGCCTAGGAGAGTTAAAGCAGAAAGATAAATGATGGCAGTTGACAATTCCATGAGTAAAACACAGGACTTTGAGGCCGCACTGAGGTAAATTTGATGAAACAGAGTAGAAAGGGACCAGCCTGTGTTTTCCAGACATTGGTCTGCCCTCTGCTAAGACTTTGAAAGCACAGCAGTAAAACCCAGCGGAGGTATCACCAGGCATGCCATAGGCCAGTTCCAAAGGGCAGCAGCAGAAGGCAGCGACCTTCAGAGCTGATCGCAGAGGAGAAAGACGTAGGCAGGGCAACAAAGAAGGAAACTGAAACTTAGAGATCTGACAAGGATGGGGAAAGGCAGCGTGAGCCAAGCGGGTGGTGGTGGAGAACAGAGAATGGATATATTCCAAGAAGCTGGACTTTCAATCTCAACCCAACTCAAAAACTGGGCCCCAACACAGGATTCTTAGGGCAGTGAAACTATTCTGTCTGATACTATACTGGTGGACACAGCCATTACACATTTCTCAAAACTCAGAGGATGCACAAAACAGTGAAGCTAACATAAAGTATGGACTTTGGATGATAATGATGTGTGATGTAGGTTCATCAACTGTAACAAACTCAGTAGTGGAGGAGGCTGTGTGTGTCGGGGGCAGGGGGTACATGGGAACTGTCTACTTCTCACTTCGTTTTGCTGTGAAAATTGCTCTGAAAAATAGAGTCTATTGGGTTTGTTTGTTTGTTTAATTTTTTTGGTTCCAAAGATCTAAACTAAATTAGTTCCCACCCTTCCCCAAACTTTTACCCTTAAATGGGAGACGTGAATGATAGAAACAGCTGGCTCAGACCCACCATCATTGTGGCCGCAGAATAACGGGGTCTTGGGAGAAACAGCACAAGACGTGATGTAGGAAACCTGGGCTGGCCCTGGTCTCTCACAGGGCTCTTGACTCACAACTCGACTCTGCAAGGAAAACTTACTCCATCCTTAAACGCCAAAGACAGACAAAATTAACATGCCTGCAACATGATACAGCCTCAGTCTTCCAAACCCAACACATCATGACAACAGATTCAGACCTCATTCTTAACCATCTGTTGTGTTTAGTGAGTAGCGGTTACATGCTAGGCACACTCTCTCCAGAAGACACAACAGAAAGCATTAGGACTGAACTTGTTCGAGTTTGGGTACATGTTAAATACTTTCCCCTTTGCAAGCCCATCATTATGCAAAAGTGCCCAAACTCTGCAACACTTAACAATGAAAAAACAAACAGAAAGCCTTTTTTTTTCCCCTCAGTTTTTCTATACTGATCCAAAGATCAAGATGGAGCTGTGCATCTGTGTTAGTCCACCACCCACCTGGTTCCTATGAGCACATCACATCACGTAGATATCTATGCCTCACTCTCACAACACCAAAAAGAAATGTTTTTAAATGTTTCACGATATTTGCCCCATTTTTTGAACAATTTCAAAGTACAACTACCTCAATGCTTGAAAACATGAAGTTAAAGGCTCTGCTTTAGTTTCCAAAACACTTTGAACCCAGATTTTCAGGTGTCATAGAATGAAGTTTTGTGTTTAAAGGTCTAAATTTAGCTTTCTTCTAGGAAATAGGGGGAGGTGGAGGAGCGGATTAAGACTAAAGTACTCTGCCTTTATAACTAGAAAAAAAAAGTCATAAAACAGAATGACCCCCACCAAAGGAAGCAATGGTATTTATATTAAAAAAGACACTCCTACCAGAAACTGACACATTGTAACTGACTATACTTCAATAAATTTTTTTAAAGACAAAAAAAAAGAACTCTGATTTGCACAATTTAAGAAAATCGTTCTAATTTCTCAATTTGTATGCCCACTGACTTAGCAATTCTACTTCTAGGAATTTTCCACAAATATAGTCGTATATTCACAGGATTGTGACTATAAATGATATTCACTGCTGTATTATCCTTACCAGTAAAACCTGGAAAGAATCTAAATGTCCATGAATCCTTTAAATAAATGACGTAGTTCTCATCATGCACCAATTTTTTTTAAATGAGGTTGACATATCTGTATGTCTTGCCATGCAAAGATGCCCATCACATATGTTTGGTGGGAAAAAAGCAAATTACAGAACCATTTTAAAGACTTGTACATATGAAAATTTCTGGTAAGGTACACACAAAATGCTGAGTTGAGAATTAGGAGAAACTTGTTTCTACATCACACATTTGCCTGCATTTTTTGGAATTTTTTAACAAGCTTCCAACATTTTTGCAATTTCTTTTTTAATTAAAAACCAAAGTCATGGGGAGAGGGTATAGCTCAGTGGTAGAGCGCATGTCTAGCATGTATGAGGTCCTGGGTTCAATCCCCAGCGCTTCCATTAAAATAAACAAATAAATGAACCTAATTACCTCCCCTCAAAAACAAATAAGACCAAAAAAAAAGGTAAAAATAAATAGATAAATAATGAAGGGCAAAATCGTGCAAAAAGCCCAAATAAATATATCAGCGTGGGAAAAATTCATGGATCCAACACACGTATGTAACGAATACAGACCGTTATTGTAATTCGCAGAATCCAGCTAAATCCCTTAATTATCCAGGTGGCATCAGAGCAGAGCCCCGTCGTATCTTCCCTAGAAAGCAAGCTTCTTAATTAGCACCAAACTTGCCTCCCGCGCTGCTAAGCTGGATGC